AATTTAATTTATAATTTTAACAATTTAACTTATTTAAAATTCAATCAAACTAAAATATCTATGAAGATGTAAATATTTAATTAAAAATAAAAGGTAATCATTTTTAATAGTGTGGCAGTATAATTTATTAAAAGGTGTAGAAAAATGAAAATTATTGTTTTTTTTTTCAAATTAAAGAATGTAATTGTTGGATTGGAATGAATTACCATTAAGCAATAATGTTTAAAGGACGCAATTTTTAACTACTACAATGGTCAATGGAAGTTTTTAAGGGTTTGTACAAACCTTTTTTATATATTTAAAATGAAATTTTTTTTTAAATTAGAAAAAACGATTTTTATTATTAAATGAAATTGCTAAATGTAATACCTATAGTCCCTACTAAATTAGTGGAACACGAAATTTTTTACAATGATTGGTGTAGGGATCCAAAACTAAAAAGTAATTATTTTTGGAAATAGCTCTTGGTATTACTTTATGATCGCAGAGTAAAATATTAAATAATTGAAAAAAAAGTCAACTTTTTAATTGATTGTGTCAATTTTATGTGGAAATCTATATATAGTAATAATACTTAACAATTCATTTTTAGTACTATTTTTTATTAAAAATTTAATAAAGTTTTCAAAGTTATCGTTGTGATCTGAACTATAAAGTAATTTTGATGTATTTTCGTCAATATTGAATAATAATGGAGTTCCGCAAAAAATAATAATGAGTAAAGTCTGTCTTCAAAACAGTATAATAGGTGTTACGTCATCGCTTCATTTATGCAAAGATAATTGTTTAGTTTTATTGATATACTTTTTTTATGGGTAATTTCCGAGAGACACTTATTGATTTTATTATAAGTTGTGTATAATGTTTAAGAAGTCGAAAATATTTACTCGCTTGGTGTACTTTTCATTAAGTGTATATTTTTTATGATTAAAACGAAGTTTGGTTTAAACATTGAGAACTGGGCAGAGTTCTCGACGCGGGTGACAAAAAAAATTAGGAATACAAAATAATTTTGAACGCCTTAACTGAGGCTATCTCTGTGTTGGTTAATGTTTACTTGGAAGTGTCAAAGAGTAAGCGATGTGGATTAAACGTTGGGTTATCCAAGTTTGTGTTTCCATTACTACCTAACCTATCTATCGTCAGCACACTATTGACACGGTAGTTTGTACGGTGCTAATGCCTTTTAAATATAATATATTATCAGAGATAAATGAAATTATGATGAATCGTCCAAAATAACAGTAATTGAACTTTTAGTGGGCAACCTTTTACCGAGCGAGTGCTTTCACACGTCACTTTCTATTCACCACCAAAGGGCGTCTGGGCAAAATACATTTCGGGAGTGTTTATACACAAAACAATGTTAATAAGTGTCTGCGCGTGCATTTTCTGGTACTCGTGATCCGCACACGTTTATTTTTCACGTGCAGAAGCTCTTGTTGCCGTCGGCCAATGGAGAATCGTAAATTATCATTGCTGCAGTCAACCAGTGTTTGGGTCGGTAGATAAAAAGAAACGACGTCACGGCTCTGGGGAAATGATAAACTTGCGACTCGTTCTCGAAATGCTCGTTAACTTTTTGCTCGATTTCAAAACGTCTTAATGAAGTGCGGCAACATCAGGATAATGCACAACACTTCTACGATTATTTATTTTAATTTTGTTTCTTACATCCGCCAATTCCGACTGAATTTAATTACAAAATTATTTTCCCGTTGAAACAATTTTTGTACTCGTAAAAAGAGAAAAACTCATTGCCCGTGTAATTTTTGATTGCATTATCATTAGGTGGGACTGTTTACCGATGAAAAAATATTATTTGCGATGGATCGTTTAAATAATGAGATGCATTGAACTGTATTTGGTAGTTATTGAAAAACAATTAACATAAGTCACTCGATTACGTCGTAAGTCGACACCGACTAAATAAAGGTAAACGTATGGCGATGGAATCGCACGAATGGAATTAATTACCGAGTAACAATATCACCCGTATAGTTTAAATTGGGTTTCATTAATGCAAACACGAATTGTGTAAACAATATGTCACAAACAGGTCGTATGAGCCTAGGAAGCGTTGTGCGAACTTTGTGGAAACTTACCGGAAGAAGTTTGTTTCACTGGTACGCCGACAAATTTCCTGTTGATAGTAACTGATAACTCAAAGGGATAACCGTCCAAGTTTTCTTCGTGGCGTTGTCACGACGATAAGACATACGCACCTCACGTACTGTAGGGATTTAAGACGATTAAATAAATAAAAATAATCATCCACTACCATCATATCAGTTATGTCAATTCGTGTGAACACAGTCAACTGTCGGTGTAGTGTGTATCTTGTAATGAAAGTAATCTGTTTTTGTTTCGTACCCGCCCTGGAAATCGAGACTTTGCAAAAAAAGTCTTTTTATTATGTATATTCCTGCAAAATATGCTCTCGGCGAATCGCTCACATATATCACCAAGTAGTTAGTCCCGTGCAGACGCTGTCATCCCGTTTCCAGACATTGTGGAAAGCTGAGAAATCAATGTAGTAATACTTATATATCTGTTGGCATTCGTTTAATAAACGTGACGAGTTTAAATGATTACACTTAAATATTTTATGGTTTGTCATTTGTTCATGTTGGTACGCTTTATTCTTAGCGAACTCGTTAGTTATACTTCTACTGTGAACAAAATTTAACATCAACGCAAAGCTGAGAGTGTATTTATTATTTTTACTTGACAAAAGAACCAGAGTTTCCTTAGGCATATAGTAATTTACCCAAAGTTTATAACCGCACCAGATAAAATACAACTCAACGGTAAATACGGTTCTCGCTAAAAAGAACATCAAAAAAGATTCGTGGAAAAATGAGTAAAATAATTTATATATTTTTATGGTATTTCATATTAAGTTATTTCAAAAAAATTATATTAGGTTACTATTGAATGTATAAAGTTATTAAACGGTAAAAAATAAATTGAATTGAGTTGAAGCAATTTTTTCTTATTGGATTTTTAAAACTAATTACCTAATGTGTAAGAAAACTTATTTAAGATGTAAAACTAATAATAACTCCAAATTTTATAATTTGTTATCATTATTTATACCACACAAGCCTCAAATAAATCTATAAGCGGTTAGTTGGTAATTTAGATATTAATGCTTTGATAATTTATCCTATTTGTAATGTGATTTTGTGAGTTATTAATATTCATCACTACACTTATAACAGTAAAATATTAAATAGATACTTAATTGAATCAAAATATTTAAAATTTTGGTCATACTACATACATTGATATGGTTTTAAAACATATTGCGCTTATATTATAAATATATAGATTAACAATTTGGAAATGATGGAAGATGGGTATTGAAATTAAATTATAACAATTGTGATCTGTCCATTATTTGAATTAGTTCCAATTTTGATTTTGCCAAAATTTGATTCCATTTATCTACCAGATATTTATTACTTCAATTATCTAATAATATATAAATTAAAAATCAATATTGTTATGTTGATTTTATTCACTCTGTGGCCTTAATGTATCGAGGACGGTGTAGTGATAAACTTATTATTTTGATTATTTATATTTAGTAAAATTTTGTTCACGTATTTATATTGATTCTTTATTGTGCGACACTTATCTAAAAATAAATTTTGGCTTCCGAATAGAGGTCATTTTTTGTTGATACCAAAGAGTGATAGCATTTTCTTAGTATTAAACATGAGTGTTTTGATTGATTGTCGTATAAAATAACTCATCGCTCGTTGCGATGTACTTTGTTTACTCGCCTTTACTCTCCTCTTGTCATTATTTTGTGTTATTTAATTTTGAGATTGTATATATATATATATATATATATGTATACAATCTATGCACTTTCAATTTTAGATTGAACGTCAGACGTTTTTGACAAACTTCTACATCAATTTTCCATGAACATCGCTGTATTAAAATTTAAAGTGGGTAAATAATATAGTAATATCAGATGAACTGAAATTTGTTTGGAGTGAATCATTAATAGTAAATGTACTCGGGGTAATAAGACACTTTGACGGAACGTCACGTTTTGGGCGCTATCCGTTATATACTGCTGGTATCCATTTTAAATAGACAAACAAGATGCGTGGAGATGTGATGTAGTTATTACGTAACACAGAAAAAAATGTTCAACTTAAATTTCCGACAGAGTGATTGTTGGGCTGCCCCACTCACTTTGATCCGCTACTAGGAATTGTATAATTCTCTGTCGACCTTTGCACGTATTTAATTTAATATTACCTAATATTTCCAATATGTCAACACGTAATGGTAATAAAATATATTTTGTTGACTGAAGCGTTCAAATAAAAACGAATGATGAAATAATCTTTTTACGCACAATAAACATTCAAGGACGCATTTATTCTATTATTTATTCTGAGGGATATCATAAAAAAGCCAATATGTATTACCTTCGGCGATGAGATGTGCAATATGCAATAAAAGTAATGTTAATAAATATTCCTAGTGCGAAATTCGTTTTCTTGGATTTAGCAAAGCACATTTTATACAGTTAAATATTTCCTATCGGTCGGTCATTGATTATTAATTTATTTTCCAAACGTTATATGGTATTTCCTACCTAAAGGATTCAGACATGTTTTCATGGAAAAAAAAATCAAGCATCACAATCATTTAATAATTATTTTTTTAATATTAATAACCACCATATCACATTACTTTAAGTTAACAAGTATTATCCATTACTTTTGCAAAAGTATTCATAAAATAGTTCGATATTCCCAAGAAATGAGATATTTTGTATCTAACCGGACTTCTCCTGATTGATATTAATTTAACAGTTTTTTGCTATTGATATAAATAAAACTGCAAGTAAACAATATCTAAAATCCTAGACGAGTTTGTGTTGTATAAAAAATAATTTTATTGTTGATATCATTTTTTGTGTTGGAGATTCCTTCAAACTAAGATCTAACTAGAGTTTTTATTTGTTTTAGGAAGTACAGATGGAATGTATAACATGAAAATATTAATACCGTGTATTACGGCGGGTGCTATAATAGGAAAGGGCGGTGAAACAATAGCCCAACTACAAACAGAGACTAACACAAAAATAAAAATGTCCAAGACAAACGATTTTTATCCAGGTAAGTCAATTTATTTATTGTCAAATTAACATGCGTGGATGTAAAAATTATAATATAGATTACTTATGTTGCTTATATAAAGTAACAATAGTTCATTTGCTTGTTGATGCTTTGCAAATGAATTAATTTTAAAATACTATTGTCATGTCTTTAAATAAGATCTGTTGTAATAGGAAACTTTAATCTGATTTCGAATATAAAACACTATATCACTAAAATTCTATGCAATTCTTATTTAAATTTAATTGTTGTTCATTGGTGTTTAGAGCTATAGCTCTAAAAGCTATTTTAGAAAAGCTCATTTTTGNTTAATCTGATTTCGAATATAAAACACTATATCACTAAAATTCTATGCAATTCTTATTTAAATTTAATTGTTGTTCATTGGTGTGTAGAGCTATAGCTCTAAAAACAATCATTTTTCTGCTCATAGAACTGAAAAATGAATGCATATTGGGTATCTTTAATTTAAATCTAAATTGGATAGTTAGACATCAAATTGTGCTTTCAAATGAAATTAAAACTATTATTGACACAAAATCAAGTAAATTATTTCGTGGTTCCAGTGCACGTACATTTTTTATTAATTGAAATCGATAACTTCTAATTTTAGATATTATTTCTTAATATTAATAAATCATAATGTTTAATAAAAATTTAATAATTTGATTTTTTCAATAAAAATAAACTATTGATAAAGTTATAAGTATATATTTTTTTGATTAATCAATGATTAATGATTCGCATAAATCAATTTAGTTTTACATTGAACATTAAGAACAAATTTTTGAAACCCTTTTTTTGAATAATTTTGCTAAATGAATATAATGTAATATATACTATGCATGGTTTTTAAAGGTACGACTGAAAGAGTTTGCATAATATCTGGATCTTGTTCAGAACACATCATGGCTGCACTAACCTTTATCATAGAAAAGATACGAGAAAAGCCAGAAGCGGCAAATAGGGTCCAAAATTCTGTAGATACTATTGCGGATAGGGAGAAACAGGTAGAGTGATTTATATTGCATTTATTATTATAAAGTAATAGACTTCTTCTTACAATTTATAAAGTAAGCAAAAAATCATTTTTTTTTATAAAACCAAGGATTTGACAAGATACATAATCTGTCCCATAAAAAGTACAAATAAGTCTAATTTGATAATTTTGGACTTGGCATTTAGCACAGGCGTCTAGATTTCGGTTATTTTGTTTTTAAAGATAAAAATGGATTTATCAGTACACTAACAATGACTATTTACAGCGTGTTTATTAAGTATGCACTGGTAAACAAATTAGCCATTATTGGTAATCAGGTTTTGAGTTAATTTAATAAAAGCAAAGACATAGAAATCTTAACAGACGCTAAGAACTCGAATAGCTTAAGTAAATTGTCTCTTGAACATAGTTATATAAATTAATTTAGGTCTACTTTATAAGTTTACATAGTAATGTAGTTCATGTTTAAAACTTCAATTTCAGTAAAATGCTTCATCCGTTACTTTTAGTAATAAACCAAGTTTTAATTAACATCGATAGTTAATACACATGCATCAAGCGTACTTAAAAATATTTAACAATGAATACATTTTTCAAGCATATTAATGTATTTTATGATTTCTTACTGTTATTACTATATTTAAACTTTACAAAAAATACATTAAAAAAATTTAATTAAATATTAAAATATAGTCATTAAAATAAATTGTCATAAAGTATAATTTTTGGATATATTTTTGTGTAAATATGAATTTCAACTCAATTAATCCATTGTTATAGTGATTTTTATTACTAACGTAACAATATTAAATTCAAATTTAGATGAACTCGACTTTATTTTTTTGTTCCTGGTTATGTGCATAATTTGTAGTCCGTTTAACGCACATGAAAACGATGCGTTGCTTTTTTTAAGAGTTAAATAGGTTAAAAACAGTATTCATAAAATTAAATATATTGATCGAGTTCTGATTCAAGCGTTGCAAACCGTTTTTTTGTTTATAACAATATTGAAATAATTTTACGAAAGAATGTAAAAATTAATTTTAGTACAGTGTTATAATTATTTTTATACTTCTATTCGTCAGTTCTTTTACTATAAATTATTATTTTCATTCGTCATCTCAATTGAAAATAAATATTTTCAAATAAAATTCCACTGAATATTCGAGTTATATTGTCTCAACAATTCACAGATAAAATTGTAAGACACTAGTTAATAATAACGCAGTTTATTCAACTTAATATGGTTACTCAGATGATTTTAATTAAATTATTTTTGTTATAATTAAAAAAGAAAATTTATTTTTGAATTGTTAAAATTGAACGAATGTACATAAATATAAATAATAAACTTATATGGAATTAATTATATTTTCCTAGGTAAAAATTTTGATACCCAACTCGACAGCGGGTATGATCATAGGAAAAGCTGGGACTTACATTAAACAGTTGAAAGAAGAAAGTGGCTGTTTTGTACAAATATCACAAAAAGCTAAGGACACGACGCTGCAAGAACGTTGTATAACTGTTTCAGGTAACTTTAATACAATTATTTTACCCAGCAACCAATTTTTATAGACCTTCTAAAAACTAAAACATTTTTTAGTTTGTTTTAATGTCTCGATATTGAAAACAATTGTTAAACCGGAAGTAACCCGAACCTTTAAAAACACCATCTAGATTTAGTGTAAACATAATTTTAGCATATGAAAAATTAGAAGAGTATAAAAAAATGTATAAACAGTTGTTATTAAATCAGTTTATAAAAACTCATTGACGTATTAATGTCCGTTTAACCTCTGATTGTTCATAAAGTTAATGTATACGACTACGAAATGTTTTGAGGATAAAAATGTTAAAATGTTTTACAACATTGTCTTTTGCAGGTGACATGGAGGGTAACAAAAAAGTATGTCTTTGTATTCTGAATAAAATTATCGAGGATCCTTTAAGTGGATCTTGTCTAAACTTGAGTTATGCTGATGTGAACGGTCCTGTTGCCAATTTTAATCCCACGGGATCTCCGTACGCATTGACTCCCACAAATTGTAGTAAGTACACTCGCGATACGTTTATGTAGTTATTTTCTGAAATTGCACTTTTTAGTGAGATCCTTTCCGTCTGTTTTAGATAACAATCAGACTAGTTACAGTTTAAATCCCGCGCTGTCTCCCCAAGAAGTCAATAATGGAATATTTTCTAACAAATTCCTAGAAAATGTCAAACCTTTGCTCAGGACTAGTGGCTATCCGGAACCGGCGGTCAACGAAATAGCCTTGGCTTTTCTCACACTTGCCAAGTAATTATAATTATAAAGTTATAGCGTAAAATTATTATATATATATATATATTTGTCCCAAACCGCTATTGCTAACAATTCATTGTCGACTATTGTGCTGTTTGAAAAATCAACCCTAAATGTTCATACAACAGATTAAATGGGTGGCGTTCGTGTTGAACGCTAACATAGAAATTAACATTATTAATTGAATAAGTTGTCTAATACAAATCGTATTTATACTAATCCAAGTAACTCGTGTTCGTATTATGAATTACAACAGGTACTGTATAGATTTCGACTCGACTGTTAGATAGTATGAGTGGATAAAACGGTCAAAGGCTTTAAATGCGATTAATGTAAATAATTACACATCGGTTCGAGATTATTCTGTAGGTACTTACCCTGTGAATGCGGTGTGGTAATTTATAACATAATAGATATAAACTGTTTTGTTCTGGACGAGATGTCAGTATCTTAGTGCAAAATTGGCACGCCGATCGAATAACTTATCAATGATATTACTCCGGACTTAATTGTAATCTCATTCGATTTTTATCCTTCGATGTTTATAGTAAAAAAGTATAATATCTCATTTCGAGGTAGTTTTTATACCATAGTGTAGGTTATAGTAAAATTAAAATTCTAAGGTTTTGACACGTTTTTCGTGTCGAAATATCGTTTAAAATTACTGATTTGTATGGTCAAATTTTAAATTCATAATGTAGAACATACTCCTAATATGCAATTTTTTAACTATTTGTTAACTATAAAGGCTGTTCCGTCGTCACTTGATATATTTCCTTGTTTTCCTACTTCAGTTATCTTAAGATTTTTTTTTTATTTAAAAAATTATATTTTAAAGAAAATATTTAACACTCGATGAAAAATTAAATTTCTTATTTTACTTTTAAATTAAAAAAATGTAATCATAAATAAAATGTTGATTTGGTTAGTTAAATATTAATCGAATTGTTTATCATTTTGAACAAATCAAATATTGCACAGCTTAAAAACACGGGACTCTCTTTTGCCTCAAAAACCTGTCGAATAAAAGTAAAATTTGCTTTTAGAACAACTGTTGTTGCTGTTAGCATTATATTGAAGATGAAAAAATGTAATTTCAAAAAGCACGATTATAGTTATTATTAGAAGACTTAATGAACATGTACAATAAGTTTAATTCAAAATTTCTGTGTAGGCCTTTCATTTCATCTTTTGTTATAATACATTTGTTATGATATCCATGAATATGTTCTGTGTGGTAGTGTATTTGAACCACGCAGATTTATTTTAACTTTCAAAAAATTTGGGCCTCAATAACTCAATAACAATTGAGTTATTTTTAAATGAAATAAAGCTTTCTTGTATTAAACGCCAAAATAATTTTTTCAAATGAATAAATAAATGTACCTTGAGTACTATAATTTTATAATTACTTAAGGAGTTATTTTTCTTTAGATTAAATTTTCTTTACGGATTTTTTATTTTTGTTCATTTATTTAATTGTAACGTTATTATAAACATTGTGAGTCAAATACATTTTTTGAATAATAGCTTAAAATTCAATATTTCTATAGAGTAACGGTAAATTAAGCGTTATTTGCCATAGTACTCTATTAAATTTTACTAAAAACTACGTCTCAATTTTTAAAATAATCATTGAAATTAGTTTTTGACTAATGATTTACTTTATCAGCTAATTTTGATTTCATGAAAAGTAAATTATTAAGAGTTACTTTGAACTTTCAGATATATCCCAAAGAAAATAATTGCTGACACATTTTGGCTGTTAATCTCATACTTTCTGCGATTTTTTTTGATACGACTCTAAAAAACAATGTTTCATAATATATTTAAATTATTTTATTGAATAATATAAAAAGGCTGAAAAATTCAATGAAATCATAGTGTTTACTCTTTTAGTATGAACTTTGTTTTTGAAAAAAAAAAAAATTTTTAATATGAATGATTTTTTGGAAAGCTGACATATGGCTTGTAATAATAATAATTATTTTCTCTCTGTATTGACACAATGTGATATTTAAAGATACTTCTGTTAGTTTTTCATTAAATCTGACCCAAATAAAAATGTTGGATGCAATATCGAATATAATTAATGTCTTCTCGGTCAACGTGACGACTATATAGGAGTCGTTTTTACAGAAAGTAAATTCTTGAATATTGTACTTAAAATACACTTTCAACCGTCTTCGTGATTTTTGTAAAGCTGTACAAATTAACGACTTTGTGTGTACATTTTGAATTGCTTTCAAGTCTGTGGTGAACGAGCTTTTAGTTTAATTATTTTTACTTGTATTGTTCGTGCTTGTTAACCGATTTTTAAAGTAACATTTAAAAAGATTGCAATCCATTTCAATTAATGCCTCCGAGTAATTCGACTACGTTTTCTTTTTGTCCGCAGGCACAACGTGCTGAGCCCAAGCAGTATAATTGGACTGATCAATCAGACGAGCATACTGCAGGCGCCGTCAATGGCCGCCCACCACAACGGCACCGGACTTCTGAGCACTGTCACCAACGACTTGTTTGACTTGGGTCTAGCGGGTGGTGCCATATCTATCAATGCCCTACTGTCTCAGAGCGCGGCCAGTCCATCGCTATCCAGCGCCAATTCGTACGGGTTGGGTGTGGCGGCGGCGGCGGCGGCGGCAGCTGCGGCTGCGACTCCCAAATCCATTGGCCACACGCCAGCTGCGGCCGCGGTAGTCGCAGCAGCCGCTCTGTTTGAGATGGCCGACGACCAACAACAGTCAGTCAAGCGCGAACTGGATGTGCCCGAATCGATCGTGGGTGCCATCATTGGTCCGGGCGGCCGGTCGCTGGTCGAAATTCAACAGATTAGTGGCGTTACCATACACATATCCAAGAAAGGTGTGTACGCACCCGGCACTACAAACCGGAAAGTTACCATATGCGGTTCGGCCGGCGGTATAGCAATGGCTAACTATCTGATGCAGCAGAGGATCGTCGAAGAGGAAACCAAACGGGCAAGGGCTTTCTGATTTCTCAATTAGTGTGTTCAAACGCCTCTCCCCTTTCATTGTTTGTTATAATAGTAATATAAATTGTAATAATAATAACAATATTATTACCACTCTAAGCACTCGATTAGCATCAAGACATTTTCTGCTATCATCACATTCAACCACTTTTGTTTTTATTTTCTTATGTTTTCTTTCAACTTATGTTTATTCCTCGCGAGACCAACAAATTCATTGTTGTGATAACGATCTGTTGAACAACTAAAATGAGCTTCTGTCTAATGCACGTTATTGGGTAATAACGAGTAATTGTCTTACTACTGGTCAGTAGTATAGATAATTACTATGATAGCTCTAAGCTTTTTTTTTTTTTTTTCAAATGACGTAAAGTGTCCAACTCGGTTAAACCGATAACGTTAGTAATGCATTGCGGTTACGAAAAAAAAAACATCATACTGTTCTAATAAACGTTCAAAGTCATTAGACGGGATCGTTGTGCTATTTCTATTGGTAGCGAGACTTTTTTTCGTTGGGTTTTCGTCACGTGATAGTTAATTTCATTTACAACTGGGATTAAAGAACATAAAAAAAAAATAATAATAACTAACTATTGACGGCATCCAGCCAAATGGGGTGTATACAAAAAATCAATTACCGAAATCCAACCAACCCATTATCATTATTTTTCAAAATAACCGAATAGTAATTAAATGTAAATGAATTGTCCACGCATTTTCACGGGAAACCTTTTTTTATCGTGTAGCTAAGGGAAAGCGATTCAATTTAACCGGAGACGTTCCAAGAGTTATTCGCAAAACCGAAGGATAAGTACAGTGTCGTTTTCCGATGTACTGCTGCAAACAATACATTTGTTATTTTTGCATTTGTTTTATTTTTCGAATAGGGTATTTTGGAAGGTCCCACGATAAATCGTTTCCGATAACTGAGTATCGGTAGAAGTGTTGCTCCACAAGGTATGTGCAACAATAATGAAGTGTATTTTATACAGCGGCGGTATGTGCGTGCGCGTTTTTCACTCTGGAGGATAAACCACAAACTGACTACGGAAATACTAAAAACGTTTCAATAAAAAATCATATACGGACAATTTGTTCGCACATTTACTCTACAACTCAAAACGGTCATGTGATATTTCATTACAGCTTTTATAACTTATTGATCAGTTTAATTAGCTTTCCTCATGATCGGTAAAGTATTTCTTTAGTTGTTTTTTTTTTTTTAATACTTGTCTTTGTTTTCCACAAACTATTCACGGTCATCTTATCCCAATATTATTGTTGTTGTTATTATTATTATTATTTGTAATTAAATTTATGTGATATATTATGATGTATAGTAGATGTAAAAGTATATTGTAAATTATTTCGGTGTGTAATTTTTTTATTGGTGCTTTATGAACGTAAAACAACCAGTATATATTATAAACATTTATATAAACTACATATGCAAACGCATAAGGTGATAGGATTTTTAAGCAAATATTGTGTTGTGTATTTAGAAAATTTCATTAAACATGACCATAAAATGTAAGCGTACACTTAAAGTTTTCTACAGTATTCCTAAGAATACATACGGCTGCAATCCGGTTACTGGAGTAAGTAGCAGGTATTATATGATATATACCTGTTATAATAATAAAATATCATATAGCGACCGACATAACCATAATAATGTAATAAAGAGCCTGTAATGTATTTCTACCCTTTTTTTCTGTTGCGAAACTATAAGCTAGAATAACGTTTCCCTTGTATAATTTTAAAGTGTTTTCAGAAATATTTTAACTCCGTCCTTAAAAAAAAAAAAAAGTCAAACTCTATTATGCAACGTATATACGTTTTACAGTTTTATTAAATTTCTCTCTTTTTTATTTTATCGTCACCAGTTGACTTCCATTAATGTTAAACGAGAACACAATTTCCACGTCTCGCCAACGTTTTGTGTACGTACTAATGTTAAGAACCTTAAATGCGATCTCAAAGCGAAAATCTCAAAGATTGTATAGTTGTTTAGTTAGAATCACGTGTAACGATATTTTTTATTGATTCTATTGATATTTTTCTTCACCAAATATTACGACGCATAAAATACTTAAAAATGATTTCAAATTGTTAGTTATTACCATTTTGTGTTTTTTATGTACTGTAAGTAAGTTTTGTTCATTTTTGTGTAATTATATACGAACATTCAAAATAGATAGTATGTTTAATTATTATAAAATCATTGTGAATTTCTTCTTTGTATAACTCTTTATTTAACGTTAAAAATATCGACAACTCAAGTTGGAATATTATGCGATGTGCGTCGTTACTCATAATAGTTTTGTTAAGTAAATAATTATTATTTTGTTAATGCTTTAGGATAGCCGCGGGACAAATTAAAATACAATTATAAGAGATAATAAAAAGTGAATACATCAAACGTTGCGTTTATATTTACTGTTTACAAAACATATCACACGTTTCGAGTGCACAGTGCAACTCGTTTTAACGAAACACACTAAAAGTTCATTAATTTTTTACAACAACATTCGGCACGCAAGGAATTTTTCGCCATATTGTATCCTATTATCGTTTATGTGATTATATTTTGTTGTATTCCATTGTATTTATTTGTACTATTCATGATTGTTACGACATTCTCATTGTGCATCATTCCATGCCATTCGTTTTCACACGTTTTCTAATAAAGACAATGTGATATTCAAAGGTAATCTTAATATTATCTGTATTAATGTAATATTGAAATATTTTATTAAATCCGTTTGNTTCCATGCCATTCGTTTTCACACGTTTTCTAATAAAGACAATGTGATATTCAAAGGTAATCTTAATATTATCTGTATTAATGTTGAAATATTTTATTAAATCCGTTTTTAAACGTTATTTTCTAAATAAGCGGTAACGCGCATCATTTTAATCATAATTACTCATTGTTATAACAGAAATATTTCGTTTATATTATTATAGTAAGTTAATTATATTTGTGAGCGAACATGGACCGAATCCGTACTAGTTCTTACTGCGGTCGATACCACGATCCCTTTAATTATATTTAAAGATTTATTTATTTTTTAAATATCACCTTTTATTATTGTTTAATATAATCCCCTGTACATTTCTCTGCAGTATGTTACGATTGTTTTTTTTTTTATNATTTTTTAAATATCACCTTTTATTATTGTTTAATATAATCCCCTGTACATTTCTCTGCAGTATGTTACGATTGTTTTTTTTTTATTTTGTTTGTTTGTTTATGGGGACTTTATTAGATGCCCAAATTAAAAGGAAATGGTAAGAAAATAAACGCGTTGTGTTGTTACTGTAAAATAACCGTGTTTTTTTTTTATTACTGCAATATTACTGTTGCAAAATACCTCTATTTCCCCATTATTGTTCAACATTTTATTTTAATGTTGTCTGTATCTTGTTATTTATTACGCCTGCCGGTAAATTAACACGGTGTTTATGGAATAGTCTCTTTGTGTTTTACTCGATACATGATATTAAAAAACGGCACTCACAATGATTTAATTATCTCGGCGCAAGAGATAACCGTTTACCAGGTGGAAGTACATACGGTAAGCATAATTTATTTTCAAACGAATTTTGGACGAGTTTGATTTTTAGACGAACGTTTACATAAATACTTCACTACATAATACCCGACTACCTAAGAGGGTATTAAATAAGCGTCATTTACCTAAGTCTTCATCTAGAGACTTAACCACTCGGAGCGTGGGATGTAAGCTCATTGAGTATAGGGAAATGGATTCCTGGATCATTTTCCTCTCGTTAAACGACGCGGTCGTTTACCAACTTAATGAAAATGTACAACGGAGCTATTATTTCGACGAGCATTTCAGGTGGCCCATTAATTCTACGTTTTGAATTATTATTTTCACAATGAATAGTATTCAATTTTACAATTTTCCCGTTGTATCGATCAAAAAATGTCGCTAATCGATTGATTTCACCTAAGGGGAGAGATAAGAAATCTTCAACAAATTCGTCGGAATAAATATAACGAAATGTAGGTCAATGACGTTGAGGTTTTGACGTAGACAATGTACAAGGGTTGAAATGATGGCAAATAGTATGACAGCGACACCTGAGCAGTTGATTATTTTAAACGATGTTCTAAGTTCTTTTTCACTTATGTCTATATGTAAAAATACAATATTTATTCTGACAGATGTAATTATGTTATTTATTTACAATCAAATAAAAACTTATTAAATGAGTTATCTTTAAAAAATATATATGACTGATATCATAGACCGTCGCTAATTCGATTAAAACAAAATTAATATCAGTAATAGCTCAGAGCAGGAATTTTGTGGGCGTAATCAATCTATTATAGGTCATACTAGTACATAAATACATTAATGACCGGAAGACTCTTTTTTCTGTTATCCACAGCTGCTGTTTACCCTTTCAGAGTATTGCGATAACGGGATTAAAGAACACAAAAAGTTGACAGTTGTTTTAACGTCGGCTGTAATTGCAATTGTACACAACTGTACCTAAATTTTCATTTAGGACAATTGTAGTATCGATATTAATATTGATTATGTCATTTTAAAAATAGCATTTATAGCAAAATTAATTTCAAAAACAATAATCAATTTAATAACATTAAAATTCAAATTAAACACATTGATGTCATAATATTTTATATAAAATTCACCGTTCCAAAAGGATGCAAATCCAAACATTTTATTTTGTAATTTTGCTTTTTTAGACGAGTTTGCTTACAATTTAATTAGGAAAATCAGAATAAAAAAAAAAAATGTTTGGACTTTTTCGACGACTTAAATAATAATCGCATGTATAAAATGAAAATTATTCGATAAATTTAATGAAATTTTATTTAATGAATTATTTATAAAATAATACATTACTATTGCTTTTGAAGTTTGAATTAATCCCTTACAGTTAATAGAAGTACAAGGATATTAATAATCTACCGGTTTAATGCACATTACATTTAAATAGCTTACTTTACTTGCTTAATTTGTAAGTGAAAAATATTATAATAATCAATAAAAAAGATTTATTTAGTTTATCAAACAAGTAACATTAATGGAAAAATCTTTTGGTTTTCATTTTCTTCGTATGTTCGTGTGTCAAAGGTGCATTAATTATTCGTATTTTAATTTGTTCAATTTAGGTTGCGTCGGTATTGTGTACATTTTGTTAACTGCTGTAACTAATGTTTGCTAAGTTTTTAGATTACATTTATAAATGCTGTTTGTTTTTTCCTCGGTTTGTTCATTGGATTAAGGCACGTTGTGTTTTTTGTTGTTATATATTGTATGGTGATTCGAAATCTAGTAAATTCCTAACTGTGGTAGTCAAGCTCTCGTGAGGTTACTTTGTGGGCTAGTTAAGTATACTGTTGTATAATTATGGGCCCCAGAGGTGCGTCACGTGAGTGAAACTGATGGGCCTAAGTAGTATAGTCATAAGTGTTAAAATGGTTCCAATTCAAGCAAAGTGCCACCACCCTTTGTCATTAATTACAATTTTTCCATCACTAAAAAAGATATAATTGTTTCAATTATATCTTTTTTTTTGAAAACGTGTTTCACATTTCAAATAAAAATTGAAAAAATATATATTAAAATTCACTTTATATAGAAGATTATTTATTCGTATATTATTAATAATCCCTTTTTATATTTTAAGTTCAAATTTCCGGATTAAGAAGCCGTACAAGTCTATATGGCTACAACAGTTTAAAAAATTATATGTGATATTTTTATTAACATCATTAATTTTATAAAATAAATAAACAGTTTGTTTAACTATTTTTAATTTTTATAATATTTCTATTTATTTTTTATTTATTTAAAAACATATATTTTTCAACAAAAAAGTTAAAAAGTTTTAAATTTACAGCAACATTTGAAACATTGTTATTATTTTTTTTTACTATGTTTGAAGTTGGAAACGTTAACTCAAAAAGACTCAATCCGACCTGTGACTGTCTAATATAGTTTAAAGCAACTTTTAAAATTTATTTGTGTACAATCATTTAAGATCACACGAGTAACTCTTTTAGTTTTGCTTGTATTCATTTTCACTGCAATGAATTTGATGCTTAATTAAAAGACACAATATTTCCATTATGTTTTTAATACATTCATTTGTCAGGTAAACTCATTTGTCCCTTGTTATAGTTATAAACTCAGTAACACTTCAGTAAAGTACTTATGAATTTATTCGCTATTTAATTTTCCATATTGAACAGACTTGCTTCATCTTGAACTTCGTTTGATTAACTATTATTTTATTTCCAAGTTAATTTTAAGTTTAAACACGAAACCTTTGTGAAAATAACGTATATTATTAAATTGGTATAGCAAAGTGTTATATAAATTAAAGGGAAAACTTAAGAAGTCCCTGAACCTGTAAACCTTTATATTTTTGTTTATGACTTCTATTTTAGTCATTTTTTTGTTTATTTAATTTGTAAATTATTAAACTGCTTTCGTTATAAAGCTTGACTTTCAGTTTTCTATATAATTAAAAACATTTTTGTTCTTTAAACAGGACTTTAATCCTGAAACCATTTGATTTCTAAAAAAAAAATTACATAATCATAATAAATAATTAAAAAAATTATAAGATATGCATTATTTTTACAAAAAAAAAAAATATATATATATAAATGTATAATTTTGTTTTTTATTACAATTTAAAAAAAAATAGACTAATAAATAAAACTGCATTATTTATTTAATATAAACATCGTATTTTTCTTTTTTTCAACAAGCTGTTCATTAAAATAAACCATTGTTTACAGATAAAGCCATCAACAGGAAATTAGATTTTTAAACGGATCTGTAGCCTGAAGCATAAAAAAAAAAATATATTTCTTAAAACAAATGTTCACTTGGGATGTGCTTTACTGGCTCTGTTGGTTAGTGTGTCACAACAATGTATGCGATGTAAAGGGGGAGGTCAAATACATTACAATTTTTACGGCTGGCACTATGACTATCAGTTAAACATTGACCCTCTACACTTATGTATGTATTGATTTTTTAGCTATACTTATTAAATCTAGAAAACTTACCTTATCCATTGAACAGAGTAAAATGGCTATAAAATTAGATCTTCATAAATTCATCCTTAATAACGATTCGCACTATGTTGTCGAATAACTTGTATAACAATGTTATGTAAACTCTATAAGTTTCTAATCAATAATAATTATACAATTTTTATTTAATTGATCGAAAATTCTAAAAATTATTTAGAAATTTTCCGATTATCAAGAAACTATAAATATTAGGAAAACAGTTTCAATGTTTAGAACGATTATAGTTACGCGACATTCATTCTAAAAACTTCTGAATACAAAGTTTAAATTTATTGTTTTATTATACACGAAAAACTAAAAAAAATATCATATTTTATGATAATGAATGACAAATATGAATGATAAATTCTCAACCAAAAACATTTTAATTGGAAAATGTTATTGCATAAATAGACAATATAAAACTTAGCGATCATTTATTAGTAGTATATAAGTTACTATGTACATATTATCAAATGAACTTTTGTTATCGACATTACCTATTTTGTGTGTTATTAGTAACATAAATATTTAAACTATACTATAATACTTACTGAATTATACTCGGTATTGATTAAATTAACTTTTTCCATCTACAAAATCGTTGTTCAACCTTAAACTAATTATATCTCATATAAATGTACACACGGTTGCCTTTAATTATGATTGAGTTATTTATCTATATTTGCCTTACACTGACGTAACAAAAAAAAAAAAATTCTCAAGTTTTTATGATAAAAAAAGAGTTAATAAATAAGTTTCGTTTTATATGAGGGACATTATCAAAAAATTGAAATTAATAAAAAATCCTTTGAATAGATAATATACTATAAATAATTATTATAAACATCTTGGGGATAAAAAAAAATAAAACGCAATTTTTGTCAATTGACTATTGATTGAAATTTAAACTCTCTAAGTGTATATGTATATAAAGATGCAAAATGCGTAAATCGGTTTCAAGTTTATTATACTACTCCTATTTAAGTATTTTCTTTATTGAAAATTTATGATTTCATTTGCTTTTAGGCTAAGCTTTCAAGAAATACTAAATAAGTATGTTTTGGACTTCTTGTAAGTAAGATCAAATAGTTCTCGTATTTTTGATGAAAGAGAAAAGGAAATTTTGATAACCTTTAATATGCTTAGTATAATGTTATACATTTTACTTTCAAAATCTGTTAAAGCTTCATAAATTATGACTTTTTAATTCACTAAAAAAACCCTTTTTCAAATCAATCGAAATACATCTCTGGGTTAAATTGAAGTTTGTAGGTAGTATTAAATTACAATTATTTTCATTAATTCAATAATATTTTCTTTTTCATTCTAAGATAAATTACATCGTTATTTCAAAGTCTTCATATTATAACTATAACAATGGGTAAAAAGTTGTTACCGACCAGTTATTTTTCAAATTAGATCATTTTTTATTATATAAGATAGTTAAATATGTATGTTGCCATTTAAAAAATTTAATTAATGTCCTTTTAGCATAAAGAGATGACTTACAAAAATACTTAATAATTCATTAATGAAGCTATATAAAAAATACCATAAAGAGTATTATTAAAATACTCCACAGTATAAGATAATCTTATTTTTAGTATTTACTTCAAAATCTATCGTAACTTCATACTTTTAAAACAAAAAATTTTATGGTAATTTAATGTTTTTACAAATATTATTTTAATTCAGTATTTCTATTGTGATTATAAAAGTTTGACAATTTAATAAGTTTAAATATTTAAATAACTTTTAGGTTAATTAGATAGCTCAACTAATTATTTAATATATAATTCATAAAAATTCCAAAAACAATTATTATAATTTGCAAATTATAATTTAAAGTAAAATACTTAGATGATAAAATTTAATAGCTTAACTGAGAAAATTTTAACAAACCGAAAAAATTTTATCTATCTATTATATAAAAAATTTTACATCATAAAATCAATGCTTAATTCCTTAATTTAAATATTAATTACTATGAATATGTGTTATCTTAAAATCAAAGATATAATTTACTTGAATCAATAAATTTATAAAGTCAAAATCGTAATTATTTATCGATAATTATAAGATGTTTTTTATTGATTTTAATAAGTATTTTTCTGGCTGTCTGTTATTTTTGCATGACGTTGGGTTAATCATTTAAACGTGAATACTCTTTATTAATCAATTTACAAATACATAAGATATTTAATAAGTATTTTATTGGTGTCATTAACTGCTTTAAAACTTTATCACTGCAATGTTTTTCTAAAAATCGTTTTATATAACTTTTATGTTATTCGTATTAGATAAAGAACAAATTTTACTAATAATTTATTTAATGTATTTAGGATTTTTCTATGTATTCACAGTAGTGATATGGTTTATTTGTATATAAATTTCATTACGGAATATAGACATGTAAGTTTCAGATAAATTATACATTTAATAAAATTTTTGATTTTTACGATTATTTTATCATACACATTTGTAACATTTAATGACTTGATAAATTAAATTATGTTTGTCTCAGATCATAATAAATGTTAAACCGATAAACTTACATCAATCCACTTGATGTATTCTGATATTCTCGTATAAAGATCTGGGAAAGCTGGTCTAATAGCACAACCAGTGACACCGTAACTCACCACACCGATGAGAACGTTTTGACCTGTGTCCCGTTGAAAAGTCAAAGGACCACCACTGTCACCCTGAAATATTAGGTAAAAAAATTGAAAAACTTGAGTGTTTTCGTACATAAAAATTTTAATTAAAATTCAACAGAAAAAATTATTTCTGGCTGTTATTAGTATATTTAAATTGTAAAAAAAAAATAAAAATACAAAACCTAGCAAAGTGGCATAGTTGGAAGAAGACTTGTTAGATCTTGTTGTCGGATATCACCTATACTAAGTACATATGGTATCTGTAGTTAGTGTTAAATTTTTAAAAGGAATTGTTGGATTTTTCAAAAGTAACCTAAACTCCTATTTTCTTAATTATATCCTAATTATAAATTTTATGATTTATATAAATTAATAATCATTGTAGTCAATAAATTAAGTATGAATTTATAACTTTAATTTTTTAAGTTAAGTACTCTAATTTGCACTTTGATGTATTGTAGTGTGATTTTATTATTTTTAATAAGTAAATAATTAATATTATTTTATGATATTGAATATAAATAGGGAAATTAAAATTAAAAAATTTTTCTCTACAAATTTAATACCCGAGTATAATAAAATGTATTTTATAATTGTAAATTTTTTGAAAAAGTATTTTCATTGTATAGTAAGATTACACAAAATTGCATTTCAAAAGTACGGCAAATGGGACCATTAGCAGCTAAAAATAAACTTCAGTGATTAAAGTAGACAAACAGGATAGTGAGATGTATACGGTATACAATGAGTTTTTATGTTAAGCTTGTTACATTAATTAAAAAGCTCAGACACTTTTGGGAAAAAGATACAAAATTAAATAAATAATAATATTACAATTTTTTAAGTACACGTTTGTTATATTTGCCTGCCATTTATAAACCGTTCTTTACTCTCTTTTGTTTTACGAATTTGAAGTTTTTGTTGCAACATCTTTAACTTTTGGGCTGTTAAAAAAAACTTACAAAACATACTGGTATTGTACAATAAAACACATAATGCAAAGAATCAAAATTTTTCTTTGCATTCATTTTATTCAAATTAATAAACTTAAATTTATCTAAAATTTCGATTAGGCTTGACAAAAGTAAAGTCACCTTTTTTTTTGTTTTTAGTTACAAATAGTAACTATACAAGCTTAAATCTATAAAAATTTTAAGTATAGAAATATTTTTTTAGGTTGGTAGGTAAAACTACTATTTTAATATCTAGCTTGAAGTAGAGTATAGTTGAGCAACTTTAAAGGAATTAACAGAAAATATGACAACCTATCAAAAACATCGTTTTATGTGTTCAAGGAGCCATCATTGATCTCTTTAAGAAATGTTTTAATGTAAAAAAATGATCTGTAATGAACTTATACGATAAACAATATTCCCAGAACTTCTTCCATTATCTCTGAAAAAAATATCTTCTTTTCTACTGTTTTTTGTAGTTTGCGGATGGGGTCCATGGAGTCCAGAATTCTCCGTAGACATGAAATCATAGTAGTAGGGGTAGTGGAAGGGTGACTGTTACCTCTACTACACGTTCTAAAAACTTCTGGACCCCCATATAAAATTTCTAAATACGCCATTGATTATTACAAGTAATACAGAAACTTTTACTATAATACTTTAATAACACTTGAAACTTTATCGATACTATTATATTACTCATGAAAAAGTATTTGACATGCTAATTTACTTACAAAGCATGTTCCTTGTAGAGAAGGAGCCGCTGCACAAAGCATACCTAATCCCACGTGATCGCCGATCAGCCGAGCACATTGAAAATTTGACAGTACTTCAACGGTAAGCTTTTGGAGTATTGGACTAGGATCACCCATGGGAAATGAAGTAATTCCCCATCCGATTACTGAACTCTTTTGACCAACCAATGAGTCTCCTGAAGTGTATTAAAACAAAAAACCTTGGCACAATTTTTTTTTTAAATTTTACTCTAAATAAAATACGGATTTTAATAATCAGTGTTATTTTTTATACAACATGTTTAAAAATGCTTAATCACGTTTTCGTAATTTAAAAAAAAATTTTTTTATTTTTTGTAGTAGATTTAATGATTTCAAATTAAACGGTGCCCAGAAAACAAAACTTTTTGTTCTGAATAAAAATTATTAAAATCTAAAGTTACAACTTTATCAAAGTTATTAACAAACGTTAGTTTGTTTAAAACAGTATTAACCGAAAATTAAACATACTTTTGATATCGCGAAATAATTTACTTGAAATTAAACAATTTGAAATGTCTTTCATCAGTCTGGGAATATTTTTTTTTATCATTACTAGTACTAGTGATGTATTATAAAAAAAAATAAGTAAAGAACTATTAACGTTATAAAATAAGTAGTTGACATTTTACTTTTTGCTTTAAAGAGAAGTGAATTTCTAAACAATTTTTTTAAAAATGAACTATTTAGAAAAATGTTAAATACAAGTTTTTTAAGGAACACATGGCAATTTAAAATTTATAATCATTTAAAAATTTTGATATAACTTGAATTTTATTCTAAATTATTTATAAGGAGTTATACTACCAAACGTTATAGAAATTACTGAAGAACATACCTCCATTTCCAGAAGGCAAGCACACAGGTTGCACATTGTTATTTAAATTGGCGGGGATGTTGAGTCGAAGCAGCGCAATATCATTAGCCAACAGAAATGGATGGAAGTGTGAATGAAATATAACCTGAGAAACAGATCTTACTTGATGTTCTGTTTCATTGTCTGTAGTCAAGTCATTATCACCCAAATGAACCATGAGGCTGTCAATGGGCGTGTCTCTCCTGTATAATAGGATTAATAATACATTTGTTAATCATATAATACTCATAAGATTGTATATTTCTCTAATGCCAAGTTGTTGTTTTAAAGACACAATAAAAACAGTAAACCAATAACTTAATGTTATTTTAATCGAAGTTCCACTTACTAAATTCAAAACATTAAAGATAATCAAGGGAATCTGTTCAAATCAAATAAATATTACTTAAATACTTAATTACTTAAATATAACTTTTTATTGAATACACTGAACAATAATTTGCGTTTATACGATTATCGTAAATATTTATTTCGTTATAGAAGTTCATTATTCTGCTAAAGTCAATGCTTAGTATTTTATGAGTTATTAAAACAGAGGGCAGTTTACTCGCAATTCAAACAGGAGCAGATCTAGAATTTTTATAAGAGAATACTTGACATTTTTTTGATGTCAAAATCAATTTTTCGTTTATTTTATCGTTCAAAATATTTATATTTTTTATGTAGGATATAATAGTCTAAGGAGAGGTGCACACTCTCTGTATCCCTTCCCAGATTTTTATATTCTGCCATTATGTCCAAATCTATTATTGTATTAAATTAAAATATATAAATAAAAACTCAAATATTAACATTAATTTACTATAAATTCTAAAAATTTATTATGGACTATGATATACAGATAAAGTAATTTTTATTGAGAGGTTTCTAAGCTACTTAAAATATACATCAGCATTGATTCGAAATTGAAAAGGTAATAACGAAAAATGTTTTTTTTCTTCCAATATTATACCAATGTTGCTGAACGACATGAAATATTACAAACTACTCATAGACAAAGAATTAAAAATTCAGTTTTTTCCTATCACTAATAATTTTTAGTTATTGTCGTTAGAATAAAAGCAATGGAAAATATAATACATTTTTTTATTGTGGGGCACATCAAGAAGAATTTCTCTAATTGTTTGATGACCAAAATTATTGTTAACTAATGTATTTTAACCATCGTTAAATAATAATAAACTTAATGAATATATTGATAATAGTGAGCTAAAATTATTTTACGTGGAAAGTACTTTTTGGCTTAATATTTGTACTTATCCATTCATTTAGTTATTTCAAAGTAATTTTAAATTGTATTTTTAGAAAATTTCATGTCATGGGTTGAATTTATTTAATTAAACTAAATAACTCTTGCAACTATTTCATTTTTCTTTATATAATTAAGTTGAACTATTCAGCTTTTAGTTACTACTGATTAACTTTCATACAACTTATTTCAAAATTATAAAGTATTGATTGAGGTATGTTTTACCATTATTATATTGTTAGGGTGCGATTTATATTCATGGATGTTGATCAAAACCAAGAATCGGAAGCTACTTGACATTTGCCCAACGATTGTTCCTGCTTCATTAAATAAGTTTTAATTATCTGATGGAGAAACAGGTAATTGTGTACTTTATTTTATACTGAGAGACTATATAATAAAATTAAAATTTTGTTTTAAGTGTACGACTAAATAATGTTGTATTTTAAATATTCAGTAAATAAAAATTATGAGTAATGTGCAATGTGTCTGACTTGAATTTCCAGAACAGTTAATTAGATCTCACCTAAGCGAGATGTATTTGGTTGGCGATGATAATTATTGGCAATAGGTAAGTAGTTGTTAAGATAAAGTTGAGTTATTGACGAAGTAATTAAATGTGATAGAAGTAATAATAATGAAACTATATTTATAGCGTCCACTTAAACACGATTGCCCGTTCAGTAGCTCCGACTACATACAATAATATTGCCATGTCAGTAACTTCTTCCGTGTTAATTAATATGTTTAACAAATTAAACACAGTGTATATAATTTAAGCCGTAAGAAGATAGAAATAACTATTTTTACTATGTATTCTAGCGGAGTGCCTTTAAATATTAAGTGTGACAAATGAAAAAATTCATTCGATTCCATTAAGATTCTGCTCTCGTAAAAATATTCCCTAAAGTGGATTTTGGTGTGGCGACGAATAATCAAATATAGACATCAAAACATCGAACTTCAGTTAAACTACGTGAATCGCGTGTATCGTTCTATATAAATCATTTTTAACGTAGGAAATATATATTTTTTTTATAAGCGAAGAAAAAACATGATATCATTATCCTTATACTTATACTTGAATATTGTATATGCAAGCAAAGCAATTATAACAGTGCAAAGATTTGTACTTTTTTATTGTAAATTGAATATTAAATAAAACTATGATATTTTTTATTTAATCATAGTTATAATAATATTTCTTAGTTGAAAAACTAAAGAAAAAGCGCTTAGTTTAATCAAATATTTGCTACCTGAGTTGAAAAAGAGACCATATCTATCGAATAATAATTTTATGTGAAAAATACTTATTCAAATTTATGGTACATCAAAGAACGACATAAAGAATTTAGTGGTGTATATTTTACAATTGATTCAACTCAGCGAGGTGGATTGAATGAGTCAATAATGCATAAATCGACTCTTTGGTGACATTTATTAAATTTGTATCTGTAAAATTGGTAGGTTGTTATGAATGAATTAAACAGATTCGGCCTAAAAAACACTGTGAATTTCATTTATAATTATCAAATGAATAATTTATTATTTTTCATTGTTATCGTTGACCAAACTGAAAAGCTTGAGACTATATACAAAGAGGATAGAATTTTTAACTTTTAAGACTTTGTCAAGTCATTAAAAATTTCTGTTGGTAAACAAAATTTAGTTTTTTGTTGAATACGTTTTGCTAATCCTAAAAATTAGACATTTAAAAAAATTGTTCTCGATTTCTTCTGTTAATTGAATATTTAATGGCGTTCGTGGAAAAAGCCTAAAAATTTAAACAAATAAAATAGATTATTTTTTTTTTACTATTTATTCTAATATTTTTAAAGTAAAAATTCAATAAAGTTATACTATTTCAACTGCAAAAGTATTAAGTATTCTAGTCGATATTAATAAATTGCAAAATAACTAGGTTGTCGTTAATTTTTGTACTTATTAATTCATTTAATTGTAAATTTAAAAGTAATTGTAAAATATTTTTTTGGAAATAATTTAAATGAACATATATATTTTATTAAATTGTACTTAAATCTATTATGAAATGATGATGTAATATTGTCGTTTTGTTTGCGTAAGTTTATGATTTGAGCGTGATTAAATAAATATATAACATTTTTTTTTTATGTAGTACCTATAGAGAAATATCATAGAAAAATGTATGTGAAATTTGAAGTCTTCTTAAGATTAGGAGAATACTAGGGGGGTTTCCAAATAAACTGAAATTAATTAAGTTGATTTGTATCATAATTTGATTATGCAAATTTTATATATGAGGCTGTCAATGGGCGTGTCTCTTCTGTATAATAGGATTAATAATACATTTGTCAATCATAAAATACTAATAAGATTGTAAATTTCTCTAATCTCAAGTTGTTGTGTTAAAGACCCAATAAAAACAGTAAACCAATAATTTAATGCTATTTTGATCGAAGTTCCACTTACTAAATTCAAAATATCAAATGTATTTTAATTATCGTTTAATTATATTGAACTTTAAAACTTTATGAATATGTCGATAATAATGTAAACTATAACTAATCAACTAATTTGCTTATAACGAGATTATTCCAGTCAGTTATCCCTAAATTGGACAAAACACATCTTCATGATAACGCAATTTAAAAAAATGAGTAAAAAATACTTATGAGAAAAGACTAGATCGTAGACGTACGTATCTTATTATTGATCTGTTAGAATGTAATGCGATCAAGATAAAAACGAAGATCGGGTACTTAGTTAAGAACGGCTTAGTTGTAGCCAAGATCCAGTGGACCTTCGACCATTGTCTACAGAGCGACCAACACCAGGCACTTGGTAATGAACGCCAGAACCTTAAGATCAAAACCGTCTGTCAACATCTACTAAACGGTACTTTCCAGAACTCACAAAGGCAATACAAACGACAGGGTACTTAGTTGAGTACGTCAACCTTCGGAAACCATTCTTCTTTAAGCCGTCCAGTACTTAATTGGGCTACCAGCGGCTAACAAAGCGATAGTTTGGTGGCTGGGCTAGTCGTTATGCCACATATAGATACTGTAACTTAAGTTAAACGACTATATTGATACTCGTTGTAACTCACCTTATATATCTTAAATCTGTTTGATTTATGTGAAAATGTATTCTTTATACGTTAATAAAGAGAGTTTATGTATAAACTCAACACAAGTGTATTATTATTTATAATGAAATGATAAAATAGCTCCGTTATACCTTTTTAATAATTTTTTAATATAATTCGTGGATCTCTTAAACGTACGTTCAAATGCGTACTGTGCATGTCATCAGTATTAGAAAATTATTAGTAGGGTTCTTTTAATATATTTCGATAACCTTTCATTTATTTTCTGAACACTATTTGGGTAGACGTCTTGTACAGATAAATAGAGATAGACCTGCCGGGATATTTTGGATATCCTAGTGGACTAGTACTGCGTTTACTGTAACAGCACTCTAACCCTGCATAGTATTACCGTAATATTATTTATGTGATCTCAAGGGGTTTAAACTTCCTCATTATTTTGATATTTATTATCAAAAAACATTCATGGACATATATTATATCATGATATATTTATACAATTTACGTACAAATTATATTCGTCATTAATTATGATTACTGTCAAAGTTATCGAAATTATATATATACATATTTTTTGACACAAAGATAAATATATATATATATATATTTGATTTGCTTTTAAGTGAAACGTACCGCTATATTAAGCTCAATACTACGGTTGAATATTTTTGAAAAATTTTTGGTTTTATATAATAATAAGAATGAAAAAACAAAATATTATCAAAATTGATCTTCTGTCATACTGTACTTAGTGTACCAATCCTTGGAGCAACAACACATAAGCTATTCAAGTAAAAATCATTGAAGTAGACCTGGAGTCTTTTAGAAAATAGTAAAAATATTAAAATACTTAATTTTAGATTGTAAGTAGATTGACACAAAAACTACTATCTCAAATTTAATTTTTAATTTAATATCATATAAAGTTAATACGTAACCTATATGAAAAAAATTGATTATGCTTAACTAATATGCTTATTAAAACATTAGTTTTTCATTTTTTAATTTGAGTGAAAAAGTAAAAATATATATATTTATTATCCTTGTAATAATAAGTGTATCGATATGGTTCTGGGGATACATTCCCTTTCGTGAGGAATTATTAATGTATAACCTTTAACAGAGTTTAATTAGAATTAAAACTATAAATGAGGGTCTTGTGATTTTTAAATTTTTGAACAGAATAAAAAAAATATTTTTTTATATATCATAAATATAGACAAAGTTAATATAACGACTAGAATGATTAGATAGTTTATATTTTGTGAAGAATAAAATAGGGTATTCTAACACCGTTTTTAAGCTTCCAAGCTCAACATTTTAAATAAATAAATTGTATGAATATCTTGACTATGAACATAACGTGAAAATTCAGCTTTACTTTGTCAGAGTAAATAATTTAAGCATTTGAATATCATTTAAACTACACACTACTTATAAAATAGATGGGCAACCGTCTTTTTTATCATCTATGACACTTTGTTTTTGTTTATCTACTCTTGTATAAAAATAACGTCCTTTACAATAAAAAAAAAAAGGTTAGTGTCTATTATCTCAAGACACCAGAAAAATTATACTCATTTATATGTGGAAAAGTTTAAAATATTATACTTTTTTTTTTTAGATAAGTTAAGACATAATGTTAAATCTACAAACTTTGTAACAATATTATATTAAAATTGTATGATAACTCACGTCATTATACAATGAGCAGCGGTGAGAACGTATCTGTCATTGATCAAAGCACCGCCGCAAAAGAAAAGACCATCCATAGCAATAGCTGCGAGCCAAGGATATTCGCCTACCTCTGCATCCATTCCACCGATGATTCTTCGATTTTGGCTAATAGGAATAGCACTGTCGACTGCCATTCCGCTGTATTCTTGTCGCAAATGGGCTTTTGTACTCCGGTAATAATAAGTGTTCAAAATAGGTTCAGGATAACTCCACCAGACTTTGCCGAAATCAGCATTGCGCTTTGCCGTTCGTTTAAACCGAGCATCACTATTTATACCACTAGTATCTTCGTCGCCAGAACGACTTATGGACGATGGAGTAAAATGCGAAGAGTCGTCACTAGACAAACCGCAATCCACGTTTTCTAAAAATAGTTATAACTGTTAGGATTTATTAGTGTAATAAATAAGGGAAGATATTTTATTACGTTTTAAAGCAGAATTTAATTCTAAAAAGATAATATTGAAACATCATGTATTCGCTCACATATTAGAAACGTAAGCTCAAATTAACATTAACGTGCGCGCTCATAGGTCTGCTAAATCAACGCTGCGCCTAAAAGTTTTGAAGTCGAATAGTACCTATTGAATAATAATAATCAACTAATTATTATAAACAGAAGAATAATTTTGAAATTTAGAGATTTAGGTGGATATTACTGGCGTGTGACGCTTTCGCGACAACTAATATAATCGAAGTGATGACAAAATTTCCAAGAAATAATTCAGTTAATTATTCTGTAAGACCCATCTCTGGTGAACACATCTATAGGTTCTTGGGAAATTTAGTGATGCATGAAAAGTAAATACTATGTACCAAGTAATTAATCAATGCAATTGCTGAAACGATTAAATCTAGGCACAAAATCAAATATTTACACACAAAACGTCAATTAAAAAATCATTCATGTCTAGTGGCTAGTAAAATTATAACGTATTTCGTACCTTTTTAAAGTTTAAGAACAGTTAAATAAAGTAAAATATTTAAAGTTTTAAAAGCATTGTTATTAAATTAATTGAAATACTTAATTTCATAAGTATTTTGAGCCTGTAAACGATGTTTGGCGTGCTATCGGTTTTGATATTAACATAATGTAAACAGATAAAGGACAATGTTGGAACTTCTCTATACAAAAACTAAAACTCGATAATTTAAAATGTGTTTGTTCAAAATAAAAGTTTGTCAATATCAATTAAACAAATAATTTTGTTCTGATAAACAAAAATTAGTTATAAAGCTCATTCAAGTGTTTATTTTAAATAAATATTTCAATGCGTCCAATTTAACTTAAACAATGGTATTTTAGCAAAGGTACATTAAGAACAATCACGTTTCAATAAATTGAAGTCTCTGAGAAAATAACAAACAACATATTTTCATCGGAAACGTGACACGACTCAAATTTGTTTCTTGCGCATTTTCTACTACTCGTATTTTTTGTAAAAGTCTCCTCAGATGAAAATCTCTAAATCTACTATATTCTATGAAATCTAAGGACGAGTTTCTAAAAAATATATATAGTTTTATATAGTTTACTACCTTTTTCTTTTTATTATTACGCGTAATGTTTTTACGAGCTGTGGATATTGCGGTTTTCGATGGATTCGTCACTCGAAACTCATCGAAGTGTTTACGGGTATCTAAATTGAATAAATCTATTCCTTTGTTGTTTTTTCATTGATTTATAGCATTTAATTTTCAAAATAGAACACTCGTCGTAAATTCTTTTCTGTACAATTCTCAAGAGGGCTAACGCCAGGCCTGTATACGGGGGAGGTAGGGGTTCAACCCCCTAAATTTTATAAAAGAAATATATATATATATATATATATGTATATATCAAATACTATCAATATTTATCTCTGATATAGTTCTTACCTTTGAATTGCTGAATCTCAGAGCATCCAATTTGGGATATTTTTATTAACCAAAAATTGGTTGGTTCGCTTTGAACGATTAAAGCGATTTTCAAAGGTTTTTCTTGACTTGGTTTAACTGCTACCACAGCTGAATTAAATATACAAAATGTTTTTTTTTAATAACCATGGAGTGTATTGTTTTGATACCATTTATTTAATTAATTACAAGTTGAATTAACGAACAACATATTTTATAAATGTAACATTATTTGTATATACTAAAGGACAGTAAAATTAATTATCGTTTTAATCACCCCAAGTCAAAATAACTTATGATACTTTTTCATTTGGAATTGTAAAAAAAATTCTTGACTATTTTAGGTCGACAATAGTTTTTGAAATAGTATTAGTAAAATACCATTATTTTTAATGATTAGGTAGGATTAAATTACGTTAAAAAAGGATAAATACACTTTGTCTTCGTCTATAGAGATAACAGTAAAGGAAAATAATGATGATCATTACGTTTTTATTTAAAAAAAATTCAAAGATAAATAATGTGTCTTCCATTATATTTAAAATCATATGTCAGATAACTGTTGGGCATATTAAGGCGAATACTCAAATAAAAGGTAAAAATAATATAATTCCATTTAAAAAAAAAAGTATAAATTGTGCATTTATAATTTTAGCAAATACTTACTGCTATAGCCGGTCAGTGGCCCACATTGACCTGTTGTTGGACCGTCGTTTGAATTCAGTATATAAAGTTGGTCAATATCGCATACCCCACCAATTTTGCGGGCCAAGTTCACGTGCTCGTATTCCACACTTTAAATTCATAAACAAAAATTTACTGCGGTTAAAGAATATGAATATAATCATGCTGTAACGAGGAATTTTTTATTTTTTCAGTTAGAAAAATTCAACGAACCTAAGAGAACATAAGCGAACTATAAAAAAATCTTCTATGTTATTTTTGTTAAAATTGTCTGAGTATTAGAAAAAGAAAAAAACAATTTTTTTTCAGTAGTCTATTGAATGAACATAAAAGTTAAATTCTAATCGAATAAAATTGTATAGAACCTTTGATTATTTTAGTTGAAATGTTAGCATTATAAAAGTAATTGATTAATTCAAATAAATTCGACATCATTAATCATTTTGATTTTAAATTATAACGTCACATAAAAATTCAGTGGCTTTAAAGATGTCACTTTTACAACAGATAAATATATTTAAATGATCTTGACTCAATTTTCCAGTCGTTAATTCAACAACACTTTACGGTCACGATTTTAAATAAAATTAATTCATAAAATGAATAATTTTTAGTGAGTAATTTGGTCTCAGACAGTTGTTCTAGAAACTTTGATTAGGGTCCACTAGGATTCGTGTATATCAAATATGAAAATTAATTAATTTACCGAATCCCACATGTGTCTTTTTGTATGATAATATCGTAATCACAAGCCAAACTACCCGTGTCCATTTTGATATTTTCAGGTGACTGTAAGTATGTAATTTTTTCACCGGACACGTCTCCGCACATCAATAAATCTGAAAAGATAAATATTAAATAAGTGGAATATCCAAATACTTATTATGGTATAAACATTCATGTTTATCTTCATTTAAGACGTGAAAATTATACTAAAAGAGGATTTGTATACTTTTTGAAGTTCATATTATATTAAACATGTATATTAATCTAATTCATCAAAACAAAAGTTAAGCTAAAAAAACAAAATAAATAGTTTTATACCGTTTTGAAAAGTTTTTTGATAGATTAAAATGTATACATTATTGAATAAAACAAAGTCTTTAAAAATATTTAATTTAAACATAACGGTATACTTATAAAATTACAGCTTAAAACATTATTAGATATGAATGTGTTAAAGTTTTCGTATCATTAGGTTAGTAGCTATGTAAACATTAGACATTTAGGAAATTTTTTTTTTTCATTTTAATTATAATTAGTACTATATTTTAAAACTTTTGTTAATATTAGTTTTTAAAATTATCATATATATTTTCCTTGATTTTTTAAAAATATCATGTAAGTATATTAAAAGTTGTTATATAAATTTTTAAAATTTTATTTCTAGATTAATATTTATAAGACTGTAATCAAACGTCGTTTTATTGATATGACTATTTTTGGTTCTTAACAGAAGTATGTACACTTACATGTACAGCAAATAAGATTATTCGACCCATCACACGGGATCCCACTTTGGCCCCCTTTTTCAAAACAAGTTTCAGCTGTAACGCAAAGTCCTTGCATTTTGCCTGCTTGACACTTTGATGGGTTGCATACTTCAGTAGTCAGCACTAAAGGACTTTTATCAGTCTCAACGCTTTCGCTAATATTCATATCCACTAAAAAACAAATATTTTGTAAATATTAAATTAGGATCACAAAAATAAAAAATACCTGGTATACTTAAAAATACTTAATTATAACTATAGACTGAAAAATATATATGTATTATAATTATATTACTATTGCTATGTTATACACAGAATACTTACACTTGGGAATGCAAGTTGTATATTTCATTTTTAATGTCATGCATAAACATTTACACATATATATCGACTAAAAATGGATATCTGTCAATGACTAAAATACAGGGAAATCCCAGTTATTCATAAAATTGTGTCACTCAGATTTCGTCTCTAGAGCTTACACGAATTGGATATTTGTATCAGTATGGTTTTGTACTTTGAGATAAACATTCTTTCGGTTGGATTTGGGGCAATTACTAACGCAAAAGGTCGGTAAATCCTTTTCAATATGAAGGTTTCTCAAATAATATAATTAAACTATTATTATTAATAATATTATCATTTGTATTACTTTTTATTTTTATCATGTATCATCGTATTGATATTCTTCATAGTTTAAATTAAAACAAAGAAATGTTCACATAAAAAAAAAGGGTTAAGTACCTAATTTATAGCACTAAGATTATTTTTATAGTATAGAGAGCTGATAAAGAATTACAAATAAAAAATGTTTGATTATGTATATGGGCTTAGAATTTTTCATTTCTATCATGTTTTTAATTAAATAATGTAACATAGGAGGTAAAAAAACTATATATAGTTCATGCAGTTTTAAAAAGTTAAACGAATATTGAATCTAATCGAAATTGAAAAAATTAATAAGAAAGGCAAGCAATTGAATATCCTAATAAATATATACATATACATACACAATAATACCATATTAGTTTCAATTTAATGCTAAGAAGGTATTGTTTTAGCTTTGATGCGAAGCTGAGAAATTATTAATTTTACCACGATGAGTTTTTTTTGTGTCTGTTGCCACTTTTTCTCAGCTCTCACTGGACTGATTTTGATGAACAATATGTCAAAAGATCACAAATTGTATCTAGTTGAAGAAATTACCCTTAAAATTTTTAAAAATTCCCTCGTTCCCCATAAATAGGGGAAATTTCTAAAAAAATTACAACTTTTCAAATCGGTAAATTTTGTCATTTTTTCACTTTTTTTTCTTAAAACTACCATAACTTTTACAAAACAACTTAATTTTCTTTTATATTGTAACCATAGATATTTTCCTTTTATTCGATAACATTTTTTTGAAAGTCTAACACTTAACCTGCTCACAGGGGGAGATTTAAGATAGCAACGTTTTACAAAAACTAGCATTTTCAACTTAACTTTTGAAAATGTTCCAGAAATACTGAATCCTTTAAACGTATATCAATTTAAAGCTTATGTCATGTACTATAAAATGAAAAAAAAAAATTTGTCCCGACACCTTATCTTCTACGTGCAAACGACTGTCGTAGTTAAAAAAAAATGCTATTTTTGTGTTAAATTTTTTGATTTTAGATTTTAAATTGCTATAACTTTTTGAATAATGTATGTATCAACACAATTTTTTTTTCTAAATACATTATATATACCTCTTTCATTTAATATAATTTTTATTCAAATTGGACAATATTCCTTTATACAGGGGGCTTTCAAAACTTGAAAAATACGAATAAAAAGTAGAACTTTTTCAACATAACTTTTGGAAATGTTCCGGAAATACTGCGTCTTTTAAACATATGTCAAATTAAAGCTTACAATAAATACTACAAGTTCAAAAAAAAAAAATTTGTCACTTATTATTCTGGCACTTTTTATTCTGTAGGAAAATGGCCGTCGAATTTAACGAAACTTTTAATTTTTATGTAAAAATCACTATTTAACATGAAATATTTTATTACTTAAAACTGCCATAACTTTTTGAAAAATGAACAAATGAAAATTATTTTTTTTATATTGAAATCTTAGATATTATTCTTTTATTTGATATAATTTTTTTGAAAATCTGACCCTAAATCTGCCCGCTGGGAGAATTAAAAAAAAAAAACAATTTTTGCACACAAGTTATGCTATTTAAATTTTTGAGAATGTTCCGGAAATATTGACACTTTTATTTAATCTTAAAGTAAAGCTTATATTATTATTTATTATAAAATTAATAAAGCATAAGAAGTTAAAACTATTTGAATTTTTTTGCTTTTTTAAAGTCGAAAAAGTAACTTTAAAATTTGAATTAGCTTAAATTGCCAATTTTATTAATCGGCGAAAGCGACGATTAGTTGCTGAATCGCTTACATTTATGTCTTTCACGACACAATTCGGTCGTTTAATTTTTAGGGTACTAGGTTCAAATCCGCCTGTGGCAATTTTTTTGTAAGTTAGAAAAAAATTTTCAAATCATTTGATTTTTATCTCATTTAGATTCATTAACTTCAATAAATATCAAGAATCCTATCACTGTAGTCTCCCCTTATGAGAAGACATTTCTTATTCATATTAATATTATTTCACTATAACTTTATTTTTGTGTCTGCGATTTATTTTTCCAACTATTACTAACCTACTTTTTCATCGATATGTCAAATTATTACAATGCGTGTTTAGTTGAAGATATAACCCTCAAAAATAGAAAAAAAATCCCTTAATCAAATGACAAGTAGCTTAATCATACAGCTTTATAGATACAAACAATTAAAATCATTAATTTCTAATATATTTAAAGTATTTATTGTCGAATTAGATTTGATATAATAAAAGTATTCAACTACAAAAGTAAATAATTTTACTTTGTAATTTTTTGTTAATTTTTTTAACTCTATTAGCGTGTGCTACTATCAGTCTATAACATTCCAATTTTTTTGGAAAAGTGTTGTTTTCACCTCAATTTAACATTTTTTACAATTATAATCAAATTTTATAATACGCACAATTAAACTTTTTTTTATTGGTTTTTTTAGTTAAAGTAAATCATTAAAATTAATTCAGTTCTGCATATTTCAATTGTAGAATCTTTTTAAACAACAAAAGTTAACTATAAATGATTACTATGATTTATATTACGATAAAAATGCAAAAAAAAATAAAGCTTTTCTGATAAATTTATTGTACATTTTATAAAATTTGCTGACTGCATATTAATCTTTACAATTTCATTTTTTAGCTTCGATGCGAAGCTGAGAAGGTATTAATTTTACTATGATGTGTTTTTTTTTCTACTTAATGATGTCAATTTCAAACATGTAAGTTGAGCTAAAAGTTAAATTCATTGTTGGGCCTTAAATATTTATTATTTATCTTACCAAGGATATATATATGTTATACGCTTTTACTAACCCATTTAGGCCCATAGCGGCTTCCTCACCATCTCACCATCTCATTTATATATATATACTTGTTTTTACTTATACTATGTAATATTAGATAATTAATAATCACCTAATATTATTATGAATAATTTATTGTAATCGAATACTATTTTCTTTGTATACTAGATTCTTAAAAATGTAAGTGTCTCAAAAAAATCAATTGATTTTCTTATAAATTGTTCTGTAATGTAATATTTAAAACATGGGCAGTTTTATATGCGATGAGAAACAATAATAAATTAGAGGCTAGATAATTTGTTGTGAAAGTAAAAGTTTAAATTAAATTACTTAAGTTGTAATTAATGGAAGTAGCCTTTAATTAAATTAAGAAAATGTAGAAATTATTATTATGAAGCATTTTTATTAACTAATCGCTTTTACTGACAATAACAAAGTTACTTAAAGTAAATAATACATGCAATTAGTTGCAAAAATATTTAATTTTAAAAAGCAATAAAAAAATCTAAAGAGTAAGTACTGCATATATCTTTACATTTTTTGTTTAATAAGAATAATTAAGTATTCTAAAAATTAAAAAATATGATTTAAGCAAGTCAATTTTATAATGCAGGTTTTAAAATTTAAAGTAATGATTGGAGCCGAGGCGCAGATTTAACTACTATTTTCAATAGATATTTCTCGGGCAAACTCTTCCTTCGCTTAAATATAAAAATGTTAATAACTTCCGAAATATTGATCGAAAAGTTGTTATTAATTAGTTTCTTAATTAGATCTTAAAAATTAATCTAACATTTATTAGATAAATCGTATGAATAAACTAGTTGGTTTTGTATGTTGATAATTGAAAAGATTAAGTTGATACATTATAAAGTATAAAGGATGAATATAAAAAACACTTATTGATTGATAAATTGAGAAAAGTGTGTGTAACTAAGATAAAACAAAAAAAAAGTTGTAATAGTAATTTCTATTTTTCGATTAATTAATTGGTTTATGACAAAAGAATCATGTGTTATACATGATGATTGAATGAGAAAATAATCACTTTATATATTTAACCATTATATTGGTTGTAAAAATTTATCCTTTATTACATTAAAAATTTACAAGTTTTTATTTATATTAACATTTGATTATTTCTAAGGATCTAAAAGTTATTTTCAGAGAAAATAAAAACGTAAGTCTAATATTAAGTGTAGGGGTAGAAATCGTTTTTAATGCGGCGATAATCGTATAAGAACCATGAAAACATTAATATGAAAATAGCGGCCTGTTATTAACAAATAACTTCAATAATCATAATTATCAAACGAGTTATGGGGGTTCTTAATTATAATTTTCAGTGCAGAAATACTACCAGGTAATTATCAATTTTCTGAATAATCTTAATTGATTTACCTGGAAGTATTCTTTATATTTTATTAATATTTTTTAAAACCTCGGTTGTAAGACATAAAACATAAGTAAACAACTTAAAACCTTTAAAATGTACCATAAAATTATCGTAAAGTTTGAAATTTTTGGTATTTTAAGTAGTATGTAATTAAGACATAACTTTTAAAACCCCATTGCAGAAAGACGCGATTACAAGGAGTGCATTGTTCAGATGGTCTGCCAAAATTAGCAGCTCATTATTATTTTATCAGTTAATGAATAAATTTTCCTGTGGATAGTGGCTAAGAATACTTCCTCGGCCCCTCTGCCAGTCGTAAGAGGCAACTAATGAGGTTGCACCAGGTCGACAGCCGGCGTAAAAATCATTGTCAAAAAAGTATGAGGAATCCTGAACAAAACTTAGGCGGATTGTCCCATCTTGGATGTACGCGGTGGCCGACCACAAGTAGTTGGGATTAAGGCGAGGAAGAAGAAGAAGAGTTAATGAATAAATAATTTAACTTGATTATATAACAAGCTCAAATTTCAGAAAAAATTTTTTAGTATAAATTAATTTACCTTTATTTATCTGCCTCGTTCCTTTAATGACAACTCTTTTTGTTCTCGATAATAGTGGTTATTATTTTTGAGCGTGAACTAATTAATCTTGCATAGTTTATATATCTAATTATTACTATAAGAGAGATTTTAGAATTTTTTAGTGAGAGGGACGATTATAAAAATTGAATTTTTCATATTTAATCCTAACACCAAATGCTTCAGATTCGTTAATGGGGATATTTTTTCTTTTATTCATATCTCACAGGTTCAACTAAAATAAAAATTTTGGGGATATTAAATTTATTTCTCCCTGTGCTAAAACTATTTTTATTTTTCAATATTAATAATTTCCTAACGCATTGAGAGCTAACCTCCTTATTTTCGTCTATAATTACCCTACGTAGATTTATATTTTTACAATTTAATAACAAAAACATTTTTTTAACTTGCTGTGAATCAGACATTACCTTCATTACCAGTAGACTTGATAAATTCTATGTCAAGATTTCTTTGGTGTCTCATAATATAAGCGGTAGCATTGTAAAGCGTCATTGGTATTGAATTAATGTCAACGACATTAGTCCGCACACTAGAGCATCGAATTTCAATAACAAGTATTTTAATTAAAATTATTAATTAATATATTCAATTAAAATAATCTGTTTAAAAATCATATAGTTTTGTGGTGCTTGACAGTAATAAAATAAAATTTAAATTTAAATAAGTTAAAATGTTAATCCAAAATATTAAAAAAATGATTTTAGAAAAAGAATTTATTATGTTTTTGTTTTTACCTGGACATACTGAAGCAAGATAAATAAATGGCAATGATAACATGAGTCTTCATGATTCTGACTGAAGGCGAAACTTCGAAACTGTTTCATCGTTAAATGTTGTACGGTATGATTATATATTTATTAAACACCCAAACAGCGAAGAAAAAGTAATTATACTGTCATGCTCCCATTCAGTTGTTTGTATAATTTGTGATCGCTATAGGTACGCTCTGTGTCCATTGTTATATGCATGTGTTTTTTTATTTTTCACTTTAATTTTATGAACTATGATAGTAATACTGTTAATATAATATATTTTCATAGGTAGTATTTGAATAAATAATAGAAATATTCAAAATATTATTTTAATGGAATAAAATCACTAATTTTCTGTTTTATTATTATTATTATTTTTTTTTGAAACCAGATATCTATTTAAGAATTTGATTGCAGTATAGATACTGAAATGTACAAATAAATTAAGTTATATGGTTTTTCAAAATATTTTAAACTGACACAAAATGTTCTTTTAGATTTAATGCATCAATATATGTAATCTGTATTGTTATCATAAACTATTATCAACTTCAAACAAAAAAAATATTTGTTACGTCAGCACAATACTATTAGTTCATTAACTAATTTGCCACGTATTTTTTTAAAATATTATCGAGTAAATAATAGTTATAAAATATGTTGGTTAATAATTATAAAAAGAAGTAGTTTTATCGTTTATTCAAAAAATTTCAATAGCTGCTATTTATTAAAAATAGTTATGATATATTAGGAAGATACTTAATTAAATAGTAGATTACTCCATCTTCACTAGCTGGCAATAATGTTTTTCTAAACATTTTTGCATTAAAAAGGCACAAACATGTGTAATAAAACTTTATTGGCACTATAATTATCTTAAAGCCAATAAGAGTTTATTATATTATACATTAAAATAAAATTATGTGTGGTGACTCGATGGAAATAATTTTGTCTGCAAAATATTCTATTGAATTAAGTATTTTATTAAAATTTTTGGTACAATTTGTTCCAGGCAAATGTTGAAAGTAATTAAGATAGAGTTTTTTTAATGGCCACATAAATTGAATTACATTAGGGTTAAATAAATTTCTTATCTATTTAGTGTAACACTTCAACAAATTTTACTATAAGAAAACTATGTAAGAGTAATTGAAAAACACCATCTATCTCGGTACACAACTTACATTGATATTGGTATAGGAAAGACTATGACAATAACGTAACCCATCAGACAATGCTTGTTGCTCTTTATATAACATATTTAACGTATAATTATTATAATTTTTGTCTTGTATTTTTCTGTNTATAATACGCTCAATTGAGTAAATCTTTTTAACAACTTTGTTTTGATTGGTTCATTTAGTTAAAGTAAATCATTAAAATTAATAAAGTGCTGAATATTTCAATTGTAGAATCTTTTCAAACAACAAAAGTTACTAGGAAATTATTACTATTACTTNTTAAGTTCTCAATATTTCAATTATAGTAGAATCTTTTCAAAGAACAAAAGTTACTAGGAAATTATTACTATTACTTCTATTTAAGTTATCTATTACCATAAAAATGCAAAAAAATATTGAGCTTTTCTGATAAATTTACAATAAATAGTAATTATAAAACTTTCTGACTGCATATTGATCTTAACGATACAATTTTTTTAATTGTCATAAAATTTTCTATTTAATGATGTCAATGTCAAACTTGCCAATTGAGCTAAAAGTTATGGTAAAATAAATTATTTATTTTTATTATAAACATTTACAACAATCTACTTTAAACGATTAAAAAAATAGGTTAAATATGACATTTTCCTTATTTTTAACATATTAATAATCAAAATCAGCATTAATTTAAAACAATTTTTTTTGTTCTTAATTATTTTTAGCTTTTTGTATATGTAAATACTATTTTTTAATAATATTAAAACTTAAAAGTTTCTTTTTCTTTGCCTTAATCCCAACTACTTGGGGTCGGCCACTCTTATCCTAAAATTCCACTTGACACGATCTCCCACATCTTCTACGCTCACATCAGCTGTCCTCAAATCGCATTCAATAGCATCCCTCCATCTCTTTTTTGGTCTTCCTCTATCTCTTCTTCCTTCAACATTCATTTCTATAACTGTTCTTACAGCTTTCGATTCTTCTTTCCTCATACCATGACTAAACAATCTAAGTCTATTTTCTGTCATCTTATCCACGATTGACGCAACACCTATACTTCCTCTTATATGCTCGTTCCTTATCCTATCTTCTCTAGTCACTCCACTCATCCAACTAAGCATTCTCATCTCTGCTACACTTATTCTCTGCTCTACTTTCTTATCAACCGCCCAACACTATGAACCATACATCATAGCTGGCCTCACTATTTCATACTGAATTTAAATACTATAATTAGTATTTATTCATATATTATATTTTAAAATCAAAGAACTACTAATCAGGATATAATTGAAGAAATGAGAGTTCATGTTGCTTTTGGAATAATCCACCAATTTCTCTAAATGAAACACTATCTACAGATTTGCATCGAAGCGCTTCTTATGATAATGATTTTAATCACTGTCAGATNAAAAATTAAAAAAAAAACGTTATAATAATTTTTTATTTAAAAATCAAATTTTCGGAAGTTTAGACATTAATACATGTTAAAAATTAATATTAATTTTTTAGTTTATTTTTAAATTTAATTTGCATTTCCTGATAAAATAATAATAACAAAAAATTTAATTATATATATAAAAGTATTCAAATATAAATTAAAAGCAGATGTGGTGCCACAGTGTGGGCCATTGCCCTTATTGGATTTTTCATCTACAAATTGTGGGGCTTATTTACCTAATGTTTATAATAGTTGTAGCTGATAGGCAAATATTGATAACTTCATTAATGATTTATCGATGTCACAATTTTGAAAAATAGTAGTTCACAAAAATTTGGATTCCCTTTCTAAATAAAATTTAAACAATTTTTCTGGGATGTAATACCATCCTGCCGGCGTCTCTTACTATATTAAATATATTAATTATCATATGATTCATAAATTGAAAATGTAATTAAAAATAAAAATTCTCATTATTTTATTTTTTTAGGAGAAATTAATTTAAAAGCTAGCGCTGCAAGAATTCTCTTGTAGGATATTACAACTGCTTAAAGCAGCAACTTTATCAAATTAATTAAAGAATATTAATAACAATTGGAAATTTATATGAAATAACTCTCAATTTATTCATATTCCAATTTAAATACTTATATTTTAAAATGACATACATAACTCTTATTCTTATATATAATTTAGTATGATTAAGGCGTTGGACAATAAAGTCAAAACTTAAATTTTTAAATTTCAAAATATATCTAAATATATTTACATCTTACATAAACGTTATCTAAGAATAATAATGGTCATTCTTTATAAAAAGCCAATTTGTTTGAATAATAAAATTATTATATATCAAAGTTATAAAACGTATATAAATAAAAATAAAAAATATGGAAAAGGTAAAAGAAATTTCCCACGCTTTTGAAAATGTTTTAGAACGATTGTATTATTCTAGTGTATACAAAATTAAAGCTCTTGAAACGTACTACAATATTAAAAAAAGCCCAGTACAGTGGGGACAAGAATAGATGATATTTGACAGCGATTAAAATCACTACCATAAAAAACGCATCAATACAATCTGTAGTGTTTAATTTTTAGAAGGATTTATTGAATTATTCCATAGCATCATAAACTCCTATTATCTTATATATATATCCTGATTACAAGTTTAATGATTTATAAGTATAATACATGAATAAATATTTATTATGGTATTTAAATTTAGTATGAAATTGATATTGAATAATTTAGAATTGTAATTTTTACGAAGAATTTATAAAAAATCATAAAGCTTTTGTATACAAAATGATTTTTATGATTTCAGAACGTTTAAATTTTTACATCCAAAACAATTANATTTATAAAAAATCATAAAGCTTTTGTATACAAAATGATTTTTATGATTTCAGAACGTTTAAATTTTTACATCCAAAACAATTAGGTAATATATCTAATTGATCTATTATATTTTATTAACTAGTATCATCTTTCGTATATAAAATTACATAATGTAATAAAAAACGTTTAATGAAAACGCTTGGGAAATAGTTAATAATAATTATGAATGAAATTTTTTTAACAAAATATAATGTATTATATATATATAAACAGTGGCAGCTCGTGATTGGGGTGCGACTTTTAATATAATACCTTTAGTTATAAGTACAAAAAATTGACAAATTAAATATAATATAATAAAAAACAATACACAAATTATTATTTTAAAGGTCGCAGTAGATAATAGAAATGAAAGTAATAATAATAGCGATTATACTGTTACAGCAAACGAATACGACACGTAGTTAATTCTAAAAATAAATTGCCCAATATACTAATATTTTACCATACAGACGACACTGTCCGTCGTCCAAATCCCGTACATAAGAATGCACCTGAACCGTATGCGCATATATTGAGAGAAACAACTTTTATATTCACACACGACACATGTATTATAACTATTTTATACTTAAAAATGTAGAATTAAGAATTTGCAAATAATTTACTTATTTTAATTAATTTTAGTCGGGGTTGCGATCGTCTCGTCGTCCAAGCCATAAGCTGCACTGTTTATAAATAATTAGACAAACAATTATGATAAAACATTTGTTGTATTATAATAAATTGCTTTAGTCTCATATTATTATATAATACGTAATTTAATAATATAAAAATAATAATGTAAATTGTCATTAATTATAAAAAAAAAATATAGAACAGATTCAATTAACAAAATTTGATGATTGTCTGAGAGGTATTAATGAAAGTAGAAATTAAATAACAACAGATGCCAAATTCATAGTTTTTAGTCTTTCTTCGTCTGTTATTTAAATTCCAAATCTAGATTCATAAAAAATTTGTAAGACTATAAATTTATATTTTATTATTTCCTAGTAGTATTATTTTACCTGGATAAATTAGATTCTCTGATGTTGGTATAAATGTCTCTTCAATTATTGGATCAAATAGAAATCCCAGTTCAAAATACTTTTCTTGAATTTCTGCCACGACATAATTTTTAATTTTTCTGGATAAAAATTGTAAAAATACAAATTTTATTTCATTGTCGATAACATTAAATTCTTGAACCCATTCATTCCATAAATAATTCTCATCATAAGGCACAAATTCGCAAAATTGATAAGTGTCATATTCTATGTATTCTTTTATATTATTAAAAAATGAATATATAATGTCAAATGGGCAAAAGTTTACAGATATATAGTCACTTAATAGAGTTCGATGGTTTAATTTGTCAAGAATATCTTCTATTCTCCCCAACAAAGGACTCATTATGTAGTGACTGTAGTTTCTTTTAAAAGTAGCCCATGGTACATTATGTAATAAATCTAAAGCGTCTATGGCGCCTTTCATTAATGTTGCTATTGGAACAATTGATGTGGATATTATATTTATGAGCTATTCAGTATAATTGTATCCATTTATTAAGTCATTTTGTTTTTTAAAAAATTGTATGCAATTAATAATTATTGAAAAAAGATTATTCATAACTTTTGCATATGTGCATTCAAGATATATAGTTAGAGCCCGTATCTTTTGCGCAAGTCGAGAACGAACTGTAGGTGTTTTAATAAGATTTTGAAGGTAATACATTCTATTACAATAATTTATATATATTACATCTTTCAANTATTTTATACATTTTATATCTTTTATGTTTTTCCATCCAGGATACATTAGTAACTTATCTAGCTGATCTATTGTATTTTTCGAATTTGTTTCTGCTTTTGTATATAAAATTACATAAAATAATAAAAAAATAAAATTGATGAGATTTAATGAAAACATTTTTAAAAANAATAAAATTGATAATATTTAATGAAAACATTTTTAAAAATAATTAATAATAATTATGGTTGAAATTTCTTGAACAAAATAAACTACGACAAAAAGTTAAGGACATGTATTATATATTTATAAATAATTAGACAAACAATTATGATAAAACATCTGTTGTATTATAATAAATTGCTTTAAATAATTTCACATTATTATATTTATCATAATTTAATAAACTAAAAATAATAATGTAAATTGTGATTAATTATAAAACAAAAATATAGAACAGATTCAATAACAAAATTTGATGATTGTCTGAGAGGTATTAATGAAAGAGAAAATTAAATGGCTACAAAATTTGGATATTCTTTAATGCGACAATATCACTCAACAGTTCCAAATTCATAGTTTTTAGTCTTTTTTAATCTGTTATTTATATTCTAATTCTAGATTCATAAAAAAAACTTAGAAACAATAAATTGATATTTTAATTATTATTTCTTAGTAATATTATTTATATCGATGCTGTAAAGATATATATTTCCATGTTTTTAATACTTATATTATACAAATTGCAATTTTATTTACTTAATTCTTTATTTTATTAATTAGCATAGAGGTAAATGCTGATGTGACAATTTTACTCATCTGTATAGCCCGGAACTACTGACGTCGAACTAACAAAGGGTAGTTGGGTTATAGAATAAGATTTCTATACCACTACTTTTGTTTTATTTATATTGTTAATAACTTAAATTATTTTATTCAACGACTCGTCTATCGCCAATTATCATCATAGCCAAACAACTTTGTCTCACTTGGATATACTTGCTTATCAACCTCTCACTAGTAATTAAGGTACACGATTGCTTGTGTCTCCTTCAGGTAATTATAACGCATTTAAGGAGTTAGGAACAATATTTGGGTAGTTTTAAAATTTAATTTAAATAAAAAATATTAGTTTTATTTAAAAAGTTATTATAAAATAAAAATATATACAGAATGAATATTTTAACAATGGGCATTCAAGTTATCTTAAAAAATTTTTTTGTGAATTTTTAATTTTGATTTTGTCATTTTCATATTTTTCTCCAAATGAAAATGGTATTAAATATTTTAGCTTCGATGCGAAGCTGAGAAGGTATTAATTTTACTATGATGTGTTTTTTTTTTTGTGCCTGTATACGCTCAATCTCAGCTCTCACTGAACCGATTTTGATGAAAAATATGTCAAAAGATCACAAATCTTATCTAGTTGAAGACAGTATCCTCAAAAATTGAAAAAATTTCCCTCGTTATCCGTAAACGGTGGAAATCCCCCAAAAAATTACAAATTTAAAAATCGCTAATTTTCGATATTTTTTCAATTTTTTTTACTTAAAATTGCCATAACTTTTTTAAAAATGACCGAATCAATATAATTTTTTTTTTTATAGATACCTTAGATATTTACCTATCATTTTATATATTTTTGTGAATATTTGACCCTTAAACAGCCCACAGGAAGGGTTTCAAAATGACAACTTGTTTACGAAAAATTAACTTTTTGACCTTAACTTTTGAAAATATTCCGGAAAGACGGACAGTTTTATATATATCTTAAATTAAAGCTAATGTAATATACTTTAATTTGAAAAAAAAAATTTGACCTCTGGACTTGTCTTCATTGTAAAAATGACTACCATATGCAAAAATATGCTATTTTTTTGAAAAAATTCTTGATATTATATTTTACATTTTTTAACATTATGATGCTATAACTTTTTAAAAAATGCATGAATCAATTGTATTCTTTAACAATAAATACTTTATATTTACCTCTTCCATTGGACATACTTTTTTTTTAAATCGGACCTTTTCCCTTTATACAGGGGGGGTGCAAACCTTTTAAAATGCATATAGAAAGTAGAACTTTTTCAACTTAACTTTTGAAAATGTTCCGGAAAGACTGACAATTTTTATATATATCTTAAATTAAAGCTAATGTAATATACTTTAATTTGAAAAAAAAAATTTGACCTCTGGACTTGTCTTCATGGTGAAAATGACTACCGTATGCAAAAATATGCTATTTTTGTGAAAAAATTCTTGATATTATATTTTACATTTTTTAACATTATGTTGCTATAACTTTTTAAAAAATGCATGAATCAACTTTATTCTTTAATGATAAATACTTTATATATACTTCTTTCATTCGACATACTTTTTTTTAAAATCGGACCATTTCCCTTTATACAGGGGGGGTGCAAACCTTTTAAAATGCGTATAGAAAGTAGAACTTTTTCAACTTAACTTTTGAAAATGTTCCGGAAAGACTGACACTTTTATATATATCTTAAATTAAAGCTTATGTAATATACTTTAATTTGAAAAAAAAAAATTTGACCTCTGGACTTGTCTTCGTGGTGAAAACGGACATCAAAGTTAAAGAAAAACGTACGATTTCCGTGAAAAAATTCTCGATTTTATATTTTATATTATTTAATTTATATTTTATATAACTTTTGGAAAAATGTATGGATCAATATCATTACTTTTTTATAATAAATATTTATATACCCCTTTCATCTGGCACGGTTTTGTTGTAAATCGGATCATACCCCTTTAACAAGGGGGGTCAAAACTTTAAACATGCGTATTGTTACTACGATATTTTCAATTTAATTTTTGAAAGTATTCCGGAAATACTGACACTTTTATATATATCTTAAATTAAAGCTTATGTAATATACTTTAATTTGAAAAAATAAAATTTGACCTCTGGATATGTCTTTATGCTAAAAATGACTAACGTATTCAATAATTTGCTATTTTTGTGTTAAAATTCTGGGTTTTGTATTTTATTTTATTTTTAAATACCTAACAAGGGGAGTACAGATTTTCATAAATATTATATAAATTAAAATTAATATAGCATAGAAATTTAAATTTATTTAAATTTGTTTGCTTCTTTTAAGACGAGAAAAATAACTTTGAAATTTGAACTAGCTTAAATAGCCAATTTTTCAACCTGCTCAAGCAACATACGGTTGTCGAGTTGGTTAAGTTTATGTTTTACACTCTTGGGNACGTACGGTTGCCGAGTTGGTAAAATTTATGTTTTACACGCTTGGGGTACGAGGTTCCAACCCGCGTATGGCAATGAATTTTTTGCATTTTTTCTTAATTCTTTTTAAGTTAGTATAAATTTTTAACTCGTTTGATTTTTATCTCATTTAGATTCAATAACTTCAATAAAGATCAAGGATCCCATCACTTTAGTCGTCCCTTGTAAGAAGAAATTTCTTATTCGTATTAAAATTATTTTACTATACTTTAAGTTTTAGCTTCTATGCAAAGCTGAGAAGATCTTTTTTTTGTGACTATCATTTATTTTCTCTGCTCTAACTTGACCTACTTTTTTAAACGATACGTCAAAAGACTACAATTCGTATCTAGTTGAAGATATTACTCTCAAAAATTGAAAAAAAAATTCTAATTTATCAATTAAACAGTTAGTTATTAGATGTTCTCCATAAAGACAATTAAAATCATTAATATCTAATGTTGTCAAAATATTTATTAACGAATAAAGTTTGATATAATAGGTTTCAATTACAAAATTAAATCATTTTACTTTGTAATTTAATAATTTTTTTACTCTATTTGTGGGTGCTACTACTAGACTATAATATTACAAATTTTTTTGTAACATGATGCATATAAATCATTTCTAAAAAAAATGATTGTTTTTTCTCCTGAATTAACAATTGATTTTTACAAATATAATCAAATTTTATAATACACTCAATTGAGTAAATCTTTTTAACAACTTTGTTTTGATTGGTACATTTAGTTAAAGTAAATCATTAAAATTAATTAAGTTCTCAATATTTCAATTATAGAATCTTTTC